TGGAAAATATAGTAAAATCTTTACATGCTTCTTTTTTACATAGGCCTCATCACTATTCTCATTCAACCTTTCATTGATATTTTTGTCCACCCAATGAGAAATACCATACAAATGACAAGATTCTTGATTTTTTCTATCACCTTAATACAACATGCAATTATTGGGACAACTATGAATTTTCTCATATCCAAGACCTAAATCTTTGATCATCTTCTTTGATTCTTTACAAGATTCAAGGATATTTGCAAAAGAAAACATTTTTTCATAAATTTTAATACTAAAGTCAAAAAGTTCTTCGTCGATCCACATAAGCATTTCAAGTGAAAAAGATAAACACAAAAAGATGACCTTTAATGCTTCGATCTCTCATAAAGTTCTTTATTCATATCCTCAAGTAACCTATAAAACTTTGATGCTTCTCTTCTAGATTGTTGTTCAGCTACACCTATCCCATGTTCACCAAATTCATTCATTTTAACATTTAACTTATTAAATCCATCATTTTGGGGAGACAAATTATGAAAATATTGGTTATGAATGTTAAAAGCATCTCGCAACATGCCTTCAATATCATCTGTTATAAAATGATCATGTTGGTGTTAGAGAGCCCTTGAAGTTGAAAGAACTCTAAAGGAAGTGAGAAACGTAATTGCTTTGAAAGAAGATCTTTTGAATCAAAAAAAATATAAAAGTATAAATTCATGATAACTGAATGTACTTGAATCTTATATTCTATTACAAAAAGAACTTGTTTTAATAATTTGTCAAAAGCTAAGGGTTTTGGGGTGGAAGGCCATGGTTTCACATGAATATTTGTATGATATTTGTTGATGCTTGTTCGTACTTTCTTGAACCTTGTTTAAGCCATATTTTATGACTACTCAGCTATCTTATAAGAAGTCTATGCTTTCTATTTATCTTTATTGGTGTAACTTAGAAGACAATACTGATATTTTACCTGTCATTTTTCTTGTCAAAACTTGGTTTGCTGTCATTTTCATTTTCTCTCCAAAAAAATAGCTTTTAATTTTAGTTTTTTTAATTGAATCTTGTTACAATTTTAGGCTTCTTACACTCTTTTTCAATTTTCTTTAAGGTTTTCATAATGAAATTTACAAATTCTCATGATTTCCTTTTCAAATTCTATAAAATTCATGTTGAACTCAAATATGGTTTCAAAATCATGCACCTGACCTACCTTCAGTCTTTTAATCAAAACTCAGTGAATTCTAGCTTGATTTACTTCAAATTTTTTTCCTAGATTCCTAGTTCATAAGGCTATAATCCAGTAAAAATTCAGCCTTAAATTTTAACTATACAAGTACAATTAATTCTTCAAATTTAAGGCTGAATCCAAAAGGCAAAAATGATTCATACATGAGAACTTGATGAATGATGATCCTCTCTCTTTCTAGATGTTCAATTTGATTCTTTCATACTTTACATTCTTATTTTTACATGCTTACTTGTTAATTTTTAATTGATTGCATTTATTTCCAAGAATTCATTTGGTGTTTGTATAGATTTAGTTGTCAATGCTCTATTTTTCTCTGTTTTGAGTATCAATTGAGTTGCTAGTTCATTAGACTGGTTTTTCTCCATTTTGCTACCATTTTCTTATTGAATTTTATAGCAAACTTGATTGATGAATTGTTTTTAGCTCATTTCAAGTTTATTTTCATTATAAACTTCTAGACCTAATTTTTTCTTTCATCAACTCAGTGAGTTTCAGTTGAATTTCACTTTATATTTTAGTTATTTCTAGTTAATTCTTGTATTTTCTTGCACTTTTTGTTCTTCAAATTAGTTTTCCTTTTGGTTCCTTAATTGATCTTTTCAATTCCAATTATGATCACTTATTTTAGCATCAATTAGATGTAGATCAATTAATTCACGTTTGGTTACAAGTTAGTTGTTAGTTGCAGTTTTGTGTTCTTTCATTACATTGTGCAATTTTTCTTCAACTTTTGCTTTTCAAATTGATTTCTCATGATGGTTTTTATAGATCTTTGAAATTCTAGCTTGTTTTGAAAAAAATTTAAAGGAACAAAAATGAAAATTCAGATTTAATATATTGGTTTTGAGATGTGTTCTATTTCAATTATATGTGTGTTTAGGGTTGGAGTTGGATTTGTTTTGAACCAATTGTTTTAAAGTTTGGGCTACTGCACTTGCAATGTTGATAACTTATCTGTAAAAGAATTTCCTTTATTTAATGTATCCTAAAGTTGATATATGTTAAGATACTCTTACTTGTTTATTTGAATGAAGATCTAAATGTGGCCAAAAGGTTATTTTATCCCAAAAGTCAAGGAATTTGGGCTTTTTCCATAAATAGGTATGATTTAAAAAGGTAAAAAAAAAAAAGATGTTTTGGCTTCAAGCTTTTAATGTTGAAACAAGAAATTAAGTTAATTGTTTTAGTATAACCCATTATAAAAATTTTAGTTTCAGGGTTCAATCTAATTATTTTGTCACACCTATAGATCACAGTCATCTTGCTATTAACTATTGAGTTTGGAAGTTATATGCAACATGCCCTTTGTGTTTATATCTCTTTCAATTATAAACTTTTTTATTGATGTCATCCCCTTGAATCTTATTCTTCTTCTACTTTTGTATCATAAAATAGCATGACTAGCAATATTTTACATGTGTATGCCAATTGGATATGCACTCAGATGCGTTTACGATAGAATAGTAAGTTTTGTTTTATAGCTTTTTCATAAGTATTTGTTAAACTAATCTCCTTAATTCCTTCCTAGTTTAAGAATAAAAGAACCATCCTTATTTCAAATATGCCAAGTTTTGTTATTGTCTATATTTTATGATGCTTTATGCTCTACCCATATGTTAATATGAGATAACTAGCTAACAGGTTGGCAGTCATTTAAATTGGCATTTTGTATTTTGGGTGGAAACTATTGTGATGCTTCCATTTGCTATTCTGGGTTTTATTATGAAGCCTTTGCAGTTGAAAAATGCATACTGTAGACCTATCAACTTGGATTGGTCTTTTATACTTTTTTCAATTATTTTTTTATGATTCCATAATACAGTTTTTGTTGTTGCTAAGTCTAAAAAAACATTGATCTCTATAGACATAACTATACCAGAAGTTCAAGGTCTAGCATAGTTGATTTATCCATTACACAATTTGCATTTCCCTCTTGAAACTCTGTTGCGTGGTCATTTTATTTTGAAGGATTGATTTATTTCCCTCTTGAAGCATTTGAATCCATTTATTTCTATGAATTTATTATGAGCTAAAAATATGATTTGAAATGGTTTATCTTATAAACTTCATGGAATCAAATAATCTTTATCTCTTTCCAATGCAATCAAACATGAACTTGATTGAATATTTATCTCTCAGCCTTTCGTATATTCTTCTTCGCTTAAATTATATGGCATTGCATTTCAAGTCTAGCAATTTCATAATGAAATATGTAAAATGGAAGAACTATGATTATGAAAGGCATTTTCATGAAATGCAGTTAGAGAGAGAGTATACATGCTTTTGCCTTGTGCTTTTATCTTGGTCATTGACCAAAAAATATATCTTAGTTTATTGTTTTGGTTAAATTTGTTTCTCTGTTATTTCTGCATGTATTTAATAATGAGATCTTATATATCTTCCCTAATTTTAGCTTGCATTACAAATTTTATTGTACTTTTTATAGCTTACCCAGGGATATTTTTCAATCAGGATGGAACATGTATTGTTCATCATCTTTTTGGACATGAAGTTGTGGAGAAGATAAATGAAATATATTGTGAGGCATTTCTAATAGCACATTTTGAAGTTCCTGCAGAAATGTTCTCTTTAGCAATGAAAGCCAATAAGAGGAATGGGTGTTGTAGACTCCACTCAAAGCAAGTGTGACTCCTTCCATAGAGTTTGTTGATGGGCAAAAGGAAAACAAATGCAAAGTGGAATGTTATTGAATGTATTAAACTTTGTGTTACATGTATATTGAAACAAATTATGTATTTATATATTTAAATATTTATAATATTTAGTTTATGAATTTAAATTTATTTTTTATTTATTTTAATAATTTTATTTAATTATAATAATAAATATTAAAAGAGAATTAAAAAAAACTAAAATTTTCAATTTAGAGGCATTTGTATTTAAAAATGCCACTAAATAATGAATTTAGTAACGTTTGTATAAGAAAATGTCATTAAATTTAGTGGTGTTTGTATAAAAAAAATAGCTATTTTCAACATTTAGCGGCATTTAAAAACACAAATGCCATTAAATTTAACAGCATTTTTTGATACAAAAGTCACTAAATTCATAATTTAGTGACATTTTTAAGCACAAATGTTACTAAATTTAATGATGTTTGTATAAAAAAATGCTGCTAAATTTAGCAGCATTTCTGCTTAAAAACATTGCTAAGTTAGTGACGTTTTTTAAAAAATGCCACTAATTAAAAAATGTCACTATTCTTCTCGATGCAGGTACATGCGACACTCTTAATAACATTTTTCTCAAATGCCGCGAATCTTTTAGTGACATTTAAAAATATCGCTAAATGTAAAAAAAAAAATATACCACTAAAGACTTAATCTCTTGTAGTGACACTAGCTACTAAATTTTTTTCAATGGACTGACTATCTTAAACTAACTCTTTTGATAAATATATATATATATATATATGCGCTTATTATTTCGTACACACTATACTAAAAAGAAAAATGGCTACAGATTTTGTTTTTTTAGTGACAAGAGATTTTTTTAATTTTATTTTAAATATTTTTTCTTAGAGCTGATTTAAATAAATTTATTTTCATCGTTTGAGCCAATTCATAGAAAATCATCATCTCACAAACTCTCAATAGATTCACACACTTTTTATCACTTGACCTAATAATTACTTGGTAAAAGAAAAAGAAAAAATAAATAAATAACAACAACGACAACAACGGAATCGGAAGGGAAGTAATTGCAAAATTCCCTTCTCCAAATCTTAAACAGCATTGAACAATCAAATAGCACTGAAAAATGAAGTTGGGCTTGGAGGTACTGGGATCTCAACTGTCCCTTCCAACATCAACAGAACCTTTTTCAGGGAAGGGCGGAGTGTTGGCTCATCCAGGATACACCATAGTCCCACTCTCACCATCCTTTCCAATTGTCTATCGTCAACCTCTTCATCATCCTCTACTAGTTTCCGTAGTTCGCCAGCTTGGTAACAATGGTAGACCCATTCTTCAAGGACAGCTTCTTCCTCAGGAAGGTTCCAATTTACACACCGTCGACAACATATGATCTCCAACACTACAATTCCAAAGCTGTAAACATCTGCTTTGACTGTCACTGGTAGTTTCCTGTGCCACTCTGGTGCAACATACCCCCTTGTTCCTCTGATCCCGGTAAAGGTTTTGGTTTGGTCTGGCTTTAGAAGCTTGGCCAATCCGAAATCAGATATTTTTGCTTGACCCTGTTCATTCATTAGTATATTTTGAGATTTGATGTCGCAATGGATTATTTGAGTCTCACACTCTTCGTGAAGATAGAGGAGACCTCTTGCTATGTTGCGAGCAATTTCCACCCTTTCATTCCAACAAGGTCTTTTTTCAGGTGTGAAGAGTACATCTGCAAGTGATCCATTGACCATGTACTCGTATACCAACAACCTATTAGCCCCTTCGTGGCAATAGCCGATTAGTCGAAGTAAATTTCGATGATGAGTTCTACCAATAATTTTCATCTCTGTTTGAAACTCTCGCTCCCCTTGAGATGATACGTTGTCCAATTTCTTCACCGC